TTGCCACGTTGATTTTCCTCCTCCTCTTCTCTGTAAAGCCCTAAGTCAGCTAAATGGCTAATGATCACAGTCAAAACGCCTGCTATTTGACATGAATAAATAAATAAATCGTAAAGGCTAACAAAATCTGATGAACTAGCCCTCCTTGCAAATACAAAACCACCTGTAGGAGGAGGAAGTATTTGATATGCACAACAATGGATTATTTATCTAACAGCATATGGAAGAGTATAACGTTTAGAATAGTGGGCTTTGTACTTCATTAAGCTAGGACAAGGTCGCGACCACCCAGAACGTACCTGCGATGAACCTTGATGCCAAAAGTGAAATCCGAGGAGGTAGGAAAGATTTGAATGAGATGTGAACACAGTGGGGCACATGAGATTCCCATTGTTAAGTTGTTTAAATACTTGCATGATGTAAGCTTGATCGAAAATTATAACTAAAGCATACTTATCAACTTCTCTAACAATCACTTTGCGAACTCGATTAAAATAATTAGGTCTCTTAGTCTGGATTCGGACATTTGGAGTTCATTTCAATTCATGATACAATAGGCACCTGAGTTGAAACCACTTCAAGTATGGGGCTTTTCAAGCTTACTCGATTTTGAATTCTCTCCATTATGGCAAGCGCTTCAGATTTCTTTGAACTTTCTGCTTCATCAATCGGAGATCGAATCTCCTCGAGGAATAGGGGTATTAGACCTTCGCGCATTTGGTAGAAAGTTGCTCCAACCCCAATATGAGCGAGAAATACAAGAATGAGGAGGACTGTGAACTGAAATAGAACAGCAAAAATCCATAGTATGAGAATCGTTTTTTGCATTTATAGGTTTCTACGCCTTTTTTGTCTTGGAATGTGTGAATTCGAACGATTACTAATTGAAGCTAACTTTTTCTAACTTTGCAAATCACTGACAATAGGTAGTCCACCTTCTTAATGAAGATACCCTCTTTATAAATACACTCCTATGGCATAGCTATCCAACTTCACCTTAAATATGTGTAATTTAATTTGCTCAGTCATTAAGTTCGCACCCCCCAAATAACCATCGTCAATCCACAGCTGTGGGACAATTACAAATTTTTCAATAACGTCTCACAAACTACCTGTTTTAATAGGCAAAAAATCTGATTGCGGTTTAATTTAGTTCATGCATTAGGTGGTTTGTGCAAGATGTTTGCTACTGAAATTACTGATAGTATGGTTTTGCTTGCTTTAACATGTCCTATCTAAAACTAGTTCAACCGCAGCCTCACCTTCTGAATCTAGTACAGGCAAAAATTAAGCGGTAAATCATATGATTTTAAGCATGCTATATGTTTTTTCAGTTCATTGCTTCAAGTCCTCTCAAATTATGATAAATCAAATGTTTAATACACCTTCACCAAATAAAACTCACTGACTGAATGCCTTCTATTCAAAAAAGCTGCCGATTTTACCCCTTCACTTTTTCAGTGATATCGTGTCTTGACGTGAAAACTCGTCAATCATGATAACTCATTAGGCTTGTATGCATTTCCAGATGGGTAATGTTGTCATTGGTTACTCAGACTGCGGAAACGATTGAGTTACTCCACACTTTTGTTCGCGATCTTTTCTGCGTTCTCTTATAAAGGCAAGCAAAAGTGTCACAATGAACCACAAATGTGCATGGTATTGATCACAGTGGCCTCTAGAATAATTGTGTTATTTAAGTGTCTGGCAAACATTTACTCCTTCCATTAGCCCCTGTTTAAGTTCACTCTCTGTCTTTCGAGTATCATATGTTAGTCTCCTTTGATTATCTTTAAATTGCTTACTTGCGCTTTAACATTGCATCGATTCATGAGACTACCGCACATATAATTAGTGATAGTCTGGAGTATATTCATGCTTTTGGTTATTTATGATTGGTAATTAGGTTTGAAATGGGCAGACTAATTAGGAAAGCACACTCATTGATTAATTCAATTACGCCATTTCAATTGTGCTGATTGCTTATTCATAATTAGTTAATATCTTGGATAGAAGACGAAACCAATATGATCAGACCTTTGTTCAACAGAATTGGCAAGGTTGAATGTAAGGATCCAAAATTATTGAATCACCTTAGAATTCCTTCATAAAACCAAACCATTTTGAGCGACTAAGAAACAGTTGACTGGACAAATACAGAGTCGTTTGAGGCTGATTGTAAAATATACAAATTAAATTCTTTATCTTAATTATATCGCATTTGATTATACTTAAAGGACCATCACTTAGCCTTACTGTTTTGGAAATCAACTTATTTCTTATTTCTTTACGAACTTATTTTTCCCTGGTATAACAATTAAATAGCTTAAACCTCTCTTTTATTATAGACACAAAAATTCCTTTAATTCCACAAAAGATATTATGGAAATTCACATATTGCTTCGCCTTAAGTTATATTCAAATGTATAAACTGCATTATTTTCTCCTTGAAACCAGTTTTGAACCTGCACATCATTCAGGAATTGCGCCTATCTTCAATAAGCCTATATATGTGACAAGCAAGCTATTGCACAAATTAATGGATGTGGTATTTTGGCGATTTTAGACAAATCAACGTACACAAGTCTAGAATAATCACATTCGTGATATGGCAGGGGGAGACCCTCTTTGACTTTCTTCCACGTGGTGCACACTCCCCAACGTATACTTATACGACAAAAAGTCATTAACCGGCAGTTGACTTCTCACTTCAGACTACCATCACCCCACTGTATGTCATATTCGACCACTTCCACAGTGCTCATCTTACTTTGTCTTCGCCCTTGTATCTGTCTGTCCTTTTTACATCTGTGAATCACTATTTTGCCCACCCCCCTCTCGACTTTTGCCACGTTGATTTTCCTCCTCCTCTTCTCTGTAAAGCCCTAAGTCAGCTAAATGGCTAATGATCACAGTCAAAACGCCTGCTATTTGACATGAATAAATAAATAAATCGTAAAGGCTAACAAAATCTGATGAACTAGCCCTCCTTGCAAATACAAAACCACCTGTAGGAGGAGGAAGTATTTGATATGCACAACAATGGATTATTTATCTAACAGCATATGGAAGAGTATAACGTTTAGAATAGTGGGCTTTGTACTTCATTAAGCTAGGACAAGGTCGCGACCACCCAGAACGTACCTGCGATGAACCTTGATGCCAAAAGTGAAATCCGAGGAGGTAGGAAAGATTTGAATGAGATGTGAACACAGTGGGGCACATGAGATTCCCATTGTTAAGTTGTTTAAATACTTGCATGATGTAAGTTTGATCGAAAATTATAACTAAAGCATACTTATCAACTTCTCTAACAATCATATTGTGAACACCATTAAAATAATTAAGAAGGAAATGCAATTGATATAGATTAAAGCAAAGGTTAATTGGTTGGCGTCCTTAAGAGAATAAAGGAAAGAATGGCCAGAAGGCAATGCTTTCTCTTAAGTTACTATTACGAGAGTCTCCTAACCGCGAGGAAAGAAGACGATTTACGAAAAAGTGATCTGCTTAGACATAGTTATTGGCTTGTCGATTGCTTATGCCAGGAAACAGAGCATTTTCTCTAAACTCACCAGCCTCGAAGATGATGTCAACTGAAGGTCTCTTTGGCTGGATTCGGACATTTGAATTAGTTGTTATAGCAGTGATAGGAGTTTATTTCAATTCATGATGCAATAGGCACCTGATTTGAAATCACTTCAAGTATGGATGTATTCATTTTTTAATATTTTACAATATACTCAAGGTCATAACTCTGTTTTTGTAACATTTACTGATGTCTGTCTCTGTGAAGTGAAAGGCACTGAATATTCATCAATAAACAAACCATAATAACAAATGAATCAGCATTCGCCGACTTAATGGACATCAATAGAAATAAACATTTGAGTATAAAAAGTGCAAACACAAAACCAAAGCATAAGCACGCCTAATTCATTTGAAAGACAACTTCAACAACAAAACAATCTATGAGATATTACGAACCCGACATTCTGTAAGCTTACTGTAAACGAAATCTTTGAAATTCTTGGCCAACAAAATGGAGTTTGGAACTTGAGCGATTTAGGCGATGTTTGCAACGTCGAGATTGGTGTCATGGCCTAGGTTTCCATTATATATCACTAGACTTCAGATAATTCAATCCAAGAGAAACATTGAATAGGCAGTTCATGAAAGACTATTTACAGGAAAAATCTGCATATTCTTGACTCTCAAATGTCAAGCTGTCACCGAACGAATGAAATTTTACCAAGACTATCTGCTCAGACTTCGAGAGCAGAGTGCGTCCACATTCGCCTAAAAATGTCCTGTGACTATAAGAAATCAATTATCGAAATTTAAATTTAATTAACTTTTTCTTCAATTCTCACTCATGAATATCAGTTTCATTATGACTAAAATCAGAATAAAGGAGAATTTTTACTTGTTCCACCTGCTTCCTAAGGACAATTTCAAGGCTCTCTTCAATAATTGTGTTCGTCATTTTGCTCTCCATGCGACATTGAGTATTAGGCAATTCAAGCCGTATTTGAATGGGTCTATAAACTAATCTTTTCCATTCAGTCAAAATTTCCGGTTAACTAAAATATTAGAGCAGTAGATAAATAGTGTCGGGGTAGGGAGGGAGGAATATGAGCCTTCCATGCTTACACGATTTTGAATTAACTCCATTATGGCATGCGCTTCAGATTTCTTTGAACTTTCAGCTTCATCAATCAGGGGTATAAGACCTTCGCGCATTTGGTAGAAAGTTGCTCCAACCCCAATATGAGCGAGAAATACAAGAATGAGGAGGACTGTGAACTGAAATAGAACAGCAAAAATCCATAGTATGAGAATCGTTTTTTGCATTTATAGGTTTCTACGCCTTTTTTGTCTTGGAATGTGTGAATTCGAACGATTACTAATTGAAGCTAACTTTTTCTAACTTTGCAAATCACTGACAATAGGTAGTCCACCTTCTTAATGAAGATACCCTCTTTATAAATACACTCCTATGGCATAGCTATCCAACTTCACCTTAAATATGTGTAATTTAATTTGCTCAGTCATTAAGTTCGCACCCCCCAAATAACCATCGTCAATCCACAGCTGTGGGACAATTACAAATTTTTCAATAACGTCTCACAAACTACCTGTTTTAATAGGCAAAAAATCTGATTGCGGTTTAATTTAGTTCATGCATTAGGTGGTTTGTGCAAGATGTTTGCTACTGAAATTACTGATAGTATGGTTTTGCTTGCTTTAACATGTCCTATCTAAAACTAGTTCAACCGCAGCCTCACCTTCTGAATCTAGTACAGGCAAAAATTAAGCGGTAAATCATATGATTTTAAGCATGCTATATGTTTTTTCAGTTCATTGCTTCAAGTCCTCTCAAATTATGATAAATCAAATGTTTAATACACCTTCACCAAATAAAACTCACTGACTGAATGCCTTCTATTCAAAAAAGCTGCCGATTTTACCCCTTCACTTTTTCAGTGATATCGTGTCTTGACGTGAAAACTCGTCAATCATGATAACTCATTAGGCTTGTATGCATTTCCAGATGGGTAATGTTGTCATTGGTTACTCAGACTGCGGAAACGATTGAGTTACTCCACACTTTTGTTCGCGATCTTTTCTGCGTTCTCTTATAAAGGCAAGCAAAAGTGTCACAATGAACCACAAATGTGCATGGTATTGATCACAGTGGCCTCTAGAATAATTGTGTTATTTAAGTGTCTGGCAAACATTTACTCCTTCCATTAGCCCCTGTTTAAGTTCACTCTCTGTCTTTCGAGTATCATATGTTAGTCTCCTTTGATTATCTTTAAA